CCTCATGGTTTGCTTGGGGCTAGCTCTAATTCATCGGTGTCTTCTTCCATGTCACGTTGGTTTCCTCCTTCACCAAGTATTGTTAAATGTAATGTAGACGCTTCCTTTTCTTTTTTGTTCCGTGTGGGGGGTAGGGGAGCGGTCTTTCGCGACTCTTGGGGAAAGATCTTGCAGGCGGTGGTTTTCAGTCCTTTCCTTGTATCCAGTGCGACATTGGTTGAAACTATTTGTCTCCGTAAAGCTGTTTTGTGGGCTTTGTCTTTTCCTTTTGATCAAATTTGGTTTGAATGCGATTCTCTAGTTGTAGTTAAGGCTATATCTGGAATTGATCCTGGGCCTATTGAAATTCATGTGATCTCTTTTGATATTAAAGTGGCGCTTCAGAGTTTTTCCTCATCTTCTTTTAGCCATGTTCATAGGCATGGCAATGAGGTTGCCCATGCTCTTGCAGCGCTGTCTCGAAGTCATATTCCAAAGGATGTTGCTCTTGTCCATATTTCGTTTGATATTTGTTGCTTAGCAACCAAGGATTGTACGTCTTGATATGTTTGTGCTGCTTTGTTTGTTTTTTTGCCAGGTTAAAACAAAAAAATAAAAAAAAATTAATCAATTTCATAAGAAATTTTCTTGTACAAATAAAAAGTGCATGTGATTGAAAATTAAATGGATGATGCTACCATTCTCACTTATTTTTATAAGGATGGTGATGATAAATGATTTTATTTTTTCACCTTAACAAAGTATTGAATATTTATATATTGACGGATCACATGTTCTTTTAATGAGAAAATTAAATTTTAGTGATTAAATCTAAATAAATTTTTTCTAAAATGACCACAAAATAAAGAAAATATGGATATTCACCAAATTTAAAATTTAAATGCCAACAAGTGACAATTTAATGGTTTATTAGGTAAATGTCCATTTAGTAATAAATTATTATATAGTTGGACAAATTCACCCAATGCATTAAAGTACTAAATTAAACACTTGCTTCAAAATTACTTGTCATTTTTTTTTTTTTTGGAGTGTTATTTGATTGTTTTCTACTTTCCTTAAATTTGATTTGATAGCTATTTGATTAATCCTGTTAGAGCATCTGTAGCAGTTGTGTGTGTGTGTGTGTGTATATATATATTTGTAAATCTCATGTGTCATAGTAGATTTACATAAAATAAATAATAAATAAAAAATAAAAAAAATTGAACTACTCATCTTTAGCTCCAGCCATTATTTTATACCTTTTATGTAAAAATGTATCTACAAATAACAACCAACCACGTGTCATGTGAGAACCCAAATAACTTTTACAAACTTACTTAATATATGGTTGATTTGTTAATGGAATGAGAAAAATGGAGGAAATATGTTGATGTGGCTATGTAAAAGGGTTGTATAAAATATACAACAATTTTATACATTGATGACGTGGCAATAAATCTTAACATATGCATGGAGATTAAAAAAAATAATACATTATACGTGGTAGAATATATTTTACACAAAAAAGTATTTTAACATACTGCTGGAGATGCTCTTATAACTAGGAGTGCCATATACCCGTCACTTGTTAGCATTTAAGTTTAAAATTTGGACTATTAATCTCTTTTCTTTATTTTGGGTCACTTTAGAGCGATTTTGTTTAGATTTGATCACTAAAATTTAAATTTTTCTAAAATATTTTGCTTAATCCATTAATTAGCACAAAAAATCACGTAAATAAGATCACAATGATTACAAGAACCAAACGTAAAGGTATGCATTATTTTCTAATAAGTTTGAATCCATAAAGGGAAGAAGAAGAAAAAAAAAAACGTTTATATACACACATAATTTTAAGAAAAATTGTTTACAAAATCTTACCTTTGCTAAATATATAATTGTCCAAAGAGGATTTACCTTTAAACAATAACGTTCTATCTCAAAATTTGCAAGGCAAAAAGAGGACCTGAGCAAGTAGATTTCACCAAATAGAAAGAACAAATTAAAAGTGTAAATAAAATTTCAGTAAATTACGTTGCCCTTTCTTGTGAGGTTTAGACAAATTACACATAGGTAGAGCGTTTGGCTTTTATTACTTTGACCTCTCTTAAGATTTGACTACTGTACTCAACGACACCCCCTATCACTAATTAAAATGCAAAAAATGACTTAGTTTCCCTTTTCGTGCGTTAAAAGACATCAATAACTATATATTTTGACATAAAATGACGAAAATATCAAAGTATCAATTTTTGTACCAATTTTATATTATTAAATTTTACAAAAACAATTTTTTTGTTAATGACATTTCATTAGTTGTCTTTTTAGGATTTGATTAGTGTTTTTTCTTTAAAAACAAAACGTTAGGTAGGTAAGGTAATATAGTGTAAGATGAAAAAAAAAAAAAAAAAAAAGGTTAATAGAGTATTTTGTTTGACAGATTTTTGTTATTAAACTATATTAAACAAGATAAGGGTATTAAATATATTTCATGTTTTTAGGGGAGGTTTAAATAACAAAAGCCAAACGCTCTATCTGTGCATAACTTATCCAAATCTCGGGGGCTCAGCCTGTGTAATTTACCCATAAGTTTTTAAGTGCTCACATTTTACATATTGCAGAGTACTTATTATCAGATTGTATAAAAATCTGAAACCTGATGAATTCAATGAATGATGGATGAATTATAAAAACGGTGAAATCAAAAGAAAAATTTGACTAAAATACACTAATACTATGTTTGGGAGCATCGAATTTGCAACTTAAATTTGGAATCCGAAAAAATTTAGTTAAAACTTTCAACTAAATTTTCTCAAATTCTAAATCGATGGCACCAATTCAATACTCCCAAATGCAACGTAAAAAAAAAAAAAAAAAACAAACAAAAAAAAAAAAAAAAAAAAATTAAGGGAAGGTTTATATTAAAATATAATCAAATATATTCTCAAATTCAAACATCCCTTAAAAGAAATAAGGTTTTGAATTGCAATATGATGCACATCAACCAAATATGAACTCTTCTCCGAAAAGGTTCGAAGTTGTCCTTGGAATACAACCAAAAAAAAAAAAAAAAAAACTCCAACTGATATGAATTATGATGTTGAAATTATAAATAGATACAAGAAATATGTAAAGATATGAGTGAGAGCGAGAGAGAGAGAGAAGGCTATTTTTCTTTCTATTTCTATATATCTTCATCTGTACACAAATAAGCCTATTTATAGGCAAGGTTTCGTGGGCACCAAGTACAAAAAGCAGCTTATACCATAAGCCTCAAAACTTTTCAATCTATGTCATTGCATGTGGACCCCACATATGAAGATATATATATAACACTCCCTTTTGGGGTCCATTGCACCTATACTAAGAATATGCCTTGTTAAAACCTTGCTAAAGAAAATCTAGTGGGACAAAACCCTAGCGAAGGAAAAAGAGTACAATATTCTTATGTATCTGAAAATGGTATTGCATAAATTAAAACTGCCTCATTAAAAACCTTGCCAGGAAAACCCAGTGGGACAAAACCTGGACGAAGGGAAAATAGTACAGCATGCCAATACCTCTTTGATCAATTGCTCCCCCTCATTAGTTTAACCCTGAAGATCTTTTAGTTGACGCATTCCAATGTTGTGCACCAGCTTCTTGAATGTTGCAGTTGGAAGTGTTTTAGTGAATAGATCTGCTAAATTTTTACATGAACGTATCTTCTGAATATCAATATCACCCCTTTTCTGGAGTTCATGTGCATAAAAAAATTTTGGTGAGATGTGCTTGGTCTGTCACTTTTAATATACTCTTCTTTCATCTGTGCAATGCATACCGCATTATCTTCATATAATACTATTAGGCTTTCTTTTATTAATGAGAGACCACATGTTATTTGAATATGTTGGATCATTGATCTCAACCAAATGCATTCCCTGTTTGCCTTATGAATTACCAGTATCTCAGAATGATTTGAAGAAGTTACAATCATTGTTTGTTTTATAGATCGCCATGATATAACAGTGCCGCCACAGGTAAACACATATCCTGTTTGTGAATAAGCTTTATGTGGGTCAGAGAGATAGCCGGCATCATGCTAATAAATTGACTGGAAAAATTATATCACGTCTTGTGCAATTTGCAAGATATAAAAGAGCACCAATCGCACTGAGATAGGACACTTCAGGACCAAGGAGTTCTTCATCATCCTCTCAAGGACGAAAATGATCTTTCTTGATGTCAAGTGATCAGACAATCATTAGAGAGCTCAATGGATAGGCTTTGTCCATATAAAAACATCTCAGAATCTTTTCTATACATGTTGATTGATGGATGAGAATACCGCTCGAAAAATGTTCAACCTGCAACCTAAGGAAAAATTTTGTCTTTCTAAGATCTTTCATTTCGAATTTTTTCTTTAAATAAGTGGCCGTCTTTTCGATCTCGTCTAATATTCCCACAAGATTCAGATCATCAACATATACTGCAACAATAACAAAACCAGATTTTGATTTGTTAATAAAAATGCATAGACAAATATGATTGTTCACATACACTTCTTTGAGTGAGTAATCACTAAGACGATTGTACCACATTCGTCCAGATTGTTTCAATCCATATAGAGATCGTTGTAATTTTATCGAGTACATATTACGTGGTTTTGTTTCAGGCATTTTAAATCCTTCTGGGATTTTCATATAAATATCACTATCTAGTGATCCATATAAATATGTTGTAACCACATCCATTAAATGCATATGCAATCTTTCTGTGACTGCCAAATGTATTATGAATCTAAATGTAGGTGCATCAATCACAAGGGAGTATTTTTCCTCATAATCAATACCAGGTCTCTGTGAGAAACCTTGAGCTACCAGTCGAGCTTTGTATATCACAATTTCATTTTTCTTATTACGCTTTCGTACTAACACCCATTTGTATCCAACAGGATTGACACCCTCAGGTGTCTGGACTACTGGTCCAAATGCTTCACGTTTAGCTAATGAATTTAGCTCTATTTGTATCGCTTCTTTCTATTTTGGCCAATCATTTCTTCGTCGACATTCTTCGACGTTTTGAGGTTCTGGATCCTTATCATCAATATCAAGAGTAACAACATATGAGAATATGTTGTCGACAACAATTTTATTTCTATTCCATCTCATTTCATAATTTAGTGAGATCTCATCATTTTTAGGTAACTTTGCCTCATCAAGGGCATGTGCCTCATCAAAGGCCATACTATCATCTGTTGCCTTTGCCTCATCAATATTTATTATTTCATCAATTTTAGGTACCTGAGACTCATCAAGAGCCTCTACCTTATCAAAGGCTGTTATCTCAGATTGATTAATAATATCTGTTGCTCCTCTTGTGGCCTCTTCAGGAGTGCCAGCTTTTTTGTGTGATTTCCTCTTACGAGGAACAATATCTTTTGCACCGACTGGTTTATCATGCTTCAGACGTGTTTTAAATGCATTTGCGGCATTATTGACAGAAGGTTCCTCAGGGACAGCAATTCATGCTAGAATATTTGCAGCTGGTATATGGGTTTTTATTACTTTCTTTGTATCAGTAAATGCATCAGGTAATTGGTTTGCAACATTTTGCAAGTGAATGATCCTCTAAACTTCTCGTTCACATTGATTTGTGCGAAGATCAAAATGAGACAATTCCAAGGCATTCCAAGTAATATCATGTTGCTGCTGTTCCTTTTCTCCCCCTAATGGTGGGAAAATAGCCTCATCAAAATGACAGTCAGCAAATCGTGTTTTAAAGACATCACTTGTCAGGGGTTCAAGATATCTAATAATAAATGGAGAATTAAAACCAACATAAATTCCAAGTCTACGTTGAGGACCCATTTTAGTGCATTGGGGTGGTGCAATTAGAACATATACAGCACAACCAAAAACTCGTATGTGAGAAATATTTGGTTGTTGACCAAAAACAAGTTGCAATGATGAGTACTTATGATAAGCAGTTGGTCGTATACGAACTAATGATGCAGCTTGTAACATGGCATGACCCCAAGCAGAAACAGGTAATTTTGTTCGCATAAGTAAATGACGACCAATTAACTGAAGTCTTTTAATAAAAGATTCAGCCATACCATTTTGAGTATGAGTGTGTGCAACAGGATGTTCAACATTAATTTCAACTGACATGCAATAATTATCAAAAGCTTGAGAAGTAAATTCAGCGGCATTATTAAGACGGATCGTCTTAATTGGGTAATCAGGGAAGTTTGCCCATAATTTGATGATTTGAGCAAGAAGTCTAGCAAATGCAACATTACGAGTAGAAAGCAGACAAACATGTGACCATCGTGTTGAGGCATCAATTAATACCATAAAATAGCGAAATGGTCCACAATGTGGATGAATCGGCCCACATATATCCCCGTAAATTCGTTGTAAAAATGGGAGAGATTCAACAATGACTTTTGAAGGGGATGGTATGATAATCAACTTACCTTGTGAGCAGGCGGTGCATAGATGATTATTTGGTAAGATGATTTTTTGATCATTTAGTGGGTGTCCATGTGACTTTTCAATAATTCAACGCATCATTGTACTCCCCGGGTGACCAAGTCGATCATGCCAAAACATAAAAAGTTTTGGGTCACAAGATTTTTTATATATCACAACATTGGACTCAATTGTCCTAATGGTTGTATAGTATAACTCAGAAGAGAAAATAGGGAGTTTTTCTAATATCTGTTTTTTGCATGAGGTAATGGAAGTAATGTAGAGATATTACACATTTCTTTCATTTGCGGTCTCAATATGATACCCATTACGACGCAAGTCTTTAAAACTCAACAGATTTCTCCGAGATCTTGTAGAATATAAGGCATCATTGATTTGTAATCTTGTTTCATGTGGTAAAATGATGTTGGCTCATCCGGAGCCTTCAATCAAGTCGGTGGGACCTGATATTGTACTAACAGTAGCGTCTGTCAGAGTTAGGTGAGAAAAATATTTTTGATCTCGAAGGATTGTATGTGTTGTTCCACTATCTGCAAGACATATGTCTTCATTATTTATTTTGGAACTAGTCAGATCCATTCCTATTTATGCAAATTTCTTTATCAGAAAAGAAACATTTATAACAAAAGAAACTTTAATACAAACTAGAAGATAAAAACTTTAATACAAAGAAAACAAAAACATAGTAGACAGAACATAAAAGAAAATAGGATTAATTGGTGTGAATATTTCTATCACCAATCAGGAAGTCTATCTTTCCATCACGGTCCTCAAAAAAATTTGATACATCCAGATTTGTGATGTCAACTGGCTCATCATGATTAATGAAATTCATTTTCAGATTTGTGATGTCAAATGGCTCATCATGATCAAGAAAATTCATTTTCTTTTGTTTCCCCTTTTCTTTCAATGAGGCTTGGTAAAGTTCAGCTAGATGCTTAGGTGTAGACAAAGGCTTTGCCAATGCCCTGTCATGCCATATCGATAGCAAGTATTATCATGTGCCTTGGGAGGTTGAGCCACATCCTTCCCTTTTACTTGTTTCATTTCATTATAATCCCTCATTTGGGGATATGGTGTGGATCTCTGATTGCGAAAATGTGAGGATTGATATCTTCACGATAATAAGAATGATTTCTACCACGATCATATTCATTATTGTGGTTGTTATTTTTACCACGACCATATTCATTATTATAGCTATTTCTACCACCCCGTCTACGTCTACGTCCACGTCCACGACCACCGGATGAGGCAACATAGGTTTCAGGGATCGGTGTCGATCCAATTGGACGAGACTGGTGGTTTCTTAACAAAAGCTCATTATTTTGCTCTGCCACAAATAAACATGATACCAGCTATAAATATTTTTAAATCTACGTTCTCGATATTGTTCTTGTAAGAGCACATTCGAGGCGTGAAATGTGGTGAATGTTTTTTCCAGCAAAAGTTCATCAGTAATAGTATCACCACATAAGTTCAATGTAGAGCTGATTTTAAATAGGGCAGAGTTATATTCAGCCATAGTTTAAAAATCTTGCAACCACAGTTATTGCCAATCAGCCCGAGCCTTTGGGAGGATAACTGTTTTTTGATGATCATATCTTTCTTTCAAATTATTCCACAAACACAGTGGATCTCTTTTAATGAGGTATTCAGTTTCTAGCTCCTCACTAATATGGCGCCGAAGGAAAATCATGATCTTCGCTTTATCTTGTAATGATGCATCATTCTCTTCTTTAATTGTGTTTCCAAGGCCCATAGCATCCAAATGGATCTGAGCATCCAGAATCCAAGATAAATAATTTTTGCCAGACATATTCAAGGCCACGAATTCCAGTTTTGTCAAGTTTGACATTTTCATAATAACTAGATGTAACAATATAAAAATATAATTTAGAATAGTATATAAATAAATAAAATGGCATTAAATAAAATAATAACATAATATGAATTATTTAAATAACAAAAGTGGTAAAACCAAATAGATAAATTATTAAGTAATAAAGGAGGTAAAACCGGCCATAAATCATTAAATAATAAAGGTGGTATAACCGATCATAGTGTGAGCACATATATCATTTAAGTGAACAAATTTATTTTATCAATAATAATCCATAATTATAATTTTCTTACATTTTAGAGTCAGAAATACTATTTTCTTCGATAAAGCAAACCAACCCAACAATCTATCAAAATTAATATCACAAAATAAATATATAATTGAGATAGAAAGGGAGAGAGTTTTTTCTTCAAATCTCATATGGATAGAGCTCGTGCTGATAACGTGAAATGAATTATGATGTTGAAACTATAAATAGATACAAGAAATATGTAAAGATATGAGAGAGTGAGAGAGAGAGAGAGAAGGCTATTTTTTTTTCTATTTCTATATGTCTTCATCTGTACACAAATAAGCCTATTTATAGGCAAGGTTTCGTGGGCACCAAATACAAAAAGCAGCTTATACCATAAGCCTCAAAACTTTTCAATATATATCATTGCACGTTAACCCCACATATGAAGATATTGGTGTGGGGGGGGGAAGTGCGACAGAACCACTACCCCTCCTCAGTTCCAACGCATTCATCTATTTCCCTGGCCCACCCACACACACATTACTGCTTTTATTTTTTCAGTGTTTTTTCCCCCTCAATGTCTTCACTCCGCCAAGTGATGCTTAAACATGCAGTGAACATGGTTTTTGGTCAGTTTTTGGTTCTATTGGCATTAATTTCTCCATTACCCTTACTCGGGAGGCTTGCGTTTTCTCCTATCTTTGCACATTTCTGCTGAAGCAAGTTTAATTACACCATATTTCCGTGTTAATTGTTGCATTGAATTGGACTCTTGGAATTAGAATTGGTATAATTTGATAAAAACAAATAAGAAATTGAACCAAAATTTTCTCAAATTCTTCAAATTCCAATTCCCCAACTCCATGCAGCACAACACACCCTTAGACGTTTTTTGATTCGGAATTCTATTTCGTTTAACAAGTTTGCTCCCAAAAATATAGTGCTCAATTCTCCAAGCCTCTTATCTGAATTATTTTTGTTGCTTTCCAAACCAAAACTTTCAAAAACGAACAATACGTTTTGAAACTTGGAAAGCATGAACAGCTAATAAAAGCGGTGTAACATTAAGGCATTAATATGAAGCGTCTCTGTACAATTTCCTAAATATTGTTTTATGAGAATACACAATTTTTCCATTAATGTGAAGTGTCTCTGTACATACATAAATTACATAAACAAAAAACAGAGGGCAAACCTAGCTACTATATAATAAGAAGAACAATAACCAAAAAAAAAAAAGACAATACTTTGCTGATATGTACATGATATCTACAATCTGTGGTAGTTCCCAAATTACCAAAAAGGACACCACCTGAAAGGAAGGAAAAAAAAATAGTAGTTAGTTAATCCCAATAATAAAGAAATATGAAAATAAAGAAATAAAAAAAAAAATTGAATAGCAAGTTAAACCTAAGTGTTAAAGCAGGTTTAATTTACACAACCAGGTTTTATATTGAATCGAGCACACAATGTTACTGATCTGGACTCTGTTTAAAAGCCATGACGATACAATGACATGATCTACAAATAAAAAACTTGATAGTAAAACTAAAACTGTTATTTGACCTAAGTGACCTGGTGGTTTTATTATTTAGTAGAAATAAAACGGTATTAAGTGAAAGTGATGATCAGCCTCGTGAACAAAACACATGGACATTTCAAATAAAAGCCATTACGAAACCAAGGAATCCGACCCTATACAATGAACAAAGTATTTTTCCCCTTCCACATCTGACAGTTACCTAGAACTCCGATTTTAAGGACATAAATGCCAGTTGTGTTTTTTGTTTGGAAGGTAAAACAATCACACACACACCCACGCCTCCATGGAGGATCGAACCCCCGACCTATGCTTTGGGGAGGGGCTTGTACCAGCTGGGCTATTGCCCATTTGGTATCACCATGTTTGTTATCATGTCTAATATCTATCAAATTTGATCCAAATGATTTATTCCGTGCGGAACACATGTCGAACACCAAATCTTCATTATTTTGGATATTAAAACCGACTCCACAACATGAGTCTTATATAACTCGTTTAAGAAAAATTGACACTGTACATATATTCACCACAGGTCATCAAGCCAAGTACGCAATGACACTTCCAATAGAAGAAAGGATATAACTGTAAAGTAGGAGAGTAGCCACTTATATAAAATAGGGGCAAAGTGCAAACCCCACCCACTCCTATCCCCAAAACTATTTTCAAGTAAAACAATTTCAACTACAACGTTTTGTTGCAAAACCCCCTGTTGTCATAGGGCCGCTAATAATTTAACAGTAATAATGCACAAACAAGTCATGGGACCTAAATTAATTGGTAAGTGCAAAAATTACGAGAGACTTACCAAATCCCGGGGGGTATTTTGACAAGTGGTACCCCTCCCAATCAAAACTATTTGTTTATCTTGAAACTCTCCACTTCTCCATTTACCAAAGAAAATAGCGAGCTTCAATTGAGAGTGCTACCACTTGTCAAAGCCCATGTGGGTTATGATCTCTAACCAATTTACGAAGAATCTGAAAAAGAAGACCTACCTAATCTTGGAATTTGCCCAGTCTCATGGTGATTAGCAAGGCAACTTATGTATGAAGGATTCACTTCAAAGAGCCTGGTAATAAAGCCGATTAAGATAGTGTGACATCTATGATCGGCCTTTCCCAAACATTTTTCGGTAAAACCTTTTCGCAAAAGTCTTTTAACGATGTTTTCAATTGTAGAATTTCTATAAAAATTACCCCACGTGACCTCTATGGTAATCCCAATACAAACGGGGTCAAAATAACCTGGATTCATCTTTACTTCTATTTTTGTCTTCTATCATCATTTTCATCATCATCTTTGCCCTTTTTCCAAATGAAGGGGTCGGTCATATGAATTCTCTTCTTCCATTCAATTCTATTACACCATGTCTCCTCTAATATT